ATATATAGGTACTAAAACACCAAAAATCAATTAACAAAAGCCTCGAAATTGATGAAATAATGAGGAGATCGTTGTGGACTCAGTTTCTGATATTAAAACATCAAAACTCGAAGAACATATAGCTTTCATACCATGTTGAAATAAGAAAGTTATGGGGAAGAAGAGAGAAGTGGAGAATATTTGTATATTATGAAGTGTGTATAAACTATAAAAGATGTGATGTGAAATAACATAGTTGAGAATTGTTTATAATTGAAGTAATTTGAGTGACTATAAATTGATTATAAACAAGAGGCAAACAAGTTCTTAGCCTAAAGATGTTTTTGCTTGTGCGAAGTGCAAACCGTGGTGATCTAAAAAGATTCCTATTTAAGCCAACCTAATTGATCTGGGCCACTTCACAAGTTATTCCTCCGTAATAGACAAGCCGTGTTGAGCTTAATTGTCGTGTCTGACGAGTGACTGCCCATGAGGAGGACATCCATCATTTATTAAAATAATAAATAAATAAACGAGATATTAATATGTAAAGATGAAAGTAAAAGAGCAATTACAATAATTTAACTACGTAAAATACAATTAAGCTATAATGATCTATTTATTATTACCAGTAAATTTACTTGTTAATTATGTTTTATTATATTTCAAAAACAAATTACCAGAGTAATTGCAAGCATATCAATAATAATCTGTATCTTCTTTTTTTTCTTTAATTATGTACTAGTTTTACGATATTCAAGCAGAAATTCTAATATTTGGAATTGATCGATAGCAAATGTTTATGATAAATGTAATTATATTACAATAATTCCACCGTAAGGAATATACTATTTCTTTTTGCTCGTTACCTTTCGGCTTGGACTAATTTTACAACTACTTCTACCTTTCGATTTTTCTGAGTTTCCTTCTCTCACATCAAGAAAAACGTAGTTTGACTTGAGCATTAAGTGCTTGTATGAAAGAGCCAAAAAGTGATTTTTAATTTTTTAATTAAAAAAAAGGAAGGAACGATGGGTTCCACAAATTACGTGGTAAAAATGTAATTACTAATTGTGGATACAATGTGAGCCCCCCCCCCCTCCCGTTGGACCCCATTTTGTGGAAATGAAAATAGTGAAAAAAAAAAGAAAAAATTTTGATTTACGTGTAATATTATTTTATGGAATATTGTGTGGTTGAAAAGAAGAAAGTGAAAAATGAAATGTAATAGAATGAAAATCAATGGGGGCCAAACGGGGGCGTAATAAGTTGTAAAATTTAATTTAATTTTTTTTATTTTGACTTCAATATTTTAGTAACGGTTTAAGATTTTATTATTATTATTATTATTATTATTATTTTATGACCTTGGGCCAATTTATGCTTACATCAACTAATCACACAAGACCCTGAAATTTACAGTCAGGTACTCACTTCAGTTGTCCTAAGAGGACTCGAACTGGTGACTATTGGGGAGTAAACACAATGCCTAACCATTGAGTTATCCCTTAGGTTTAACGGTTTAAATTTTTTTAAAGAAATAGTAAATATCTGCAAGCTTATTATTTTTGTTTGAGAGCTGCAATTCAGCACAAGTGGTTTTAGCACTGACTTATGTAGCATTGAGGTCTAATGATACATTTCAATTTACACGTTTCACTAATTTGTTGGTAGTTAATGAAAGAAAAGATAGCTATTGATATGTCATTGGGATTGTCTAATGGCTCTAACCTAAGCTTGTGAATATTGAGGTGTTTTTTTTTTCCTTGCAACCAAAATAACCGAGCCGTGATAAGCTGTTAGATGGAGACCCTCTCTAAGGATTAATGAATCACAATTTTAATGACTTTTGTTCTTAAAGAACCAGCGTTTTGGCTATGAATACTTATTTTGATTTTACATCTTTCGTACAATCTCCCATATCTCACAATGTATTTATTTCAATTATGATACAATATAAATGAACTTAAATTCCACATAAAAAAGGTAAAAATGGGTTGTACTAGCCCAACCTGAAATATTACAGGATCGGGGCCTAGGTCAGTCCGCAGATTTAAAGACGGTCCATAGCTCTAACCATATTTTTAAGTGGAAATTACACAAAACAATAGATTAACTATTCAAAATTCCTAAATCAGACTGAAACTTTAATATTTCAAAAATCAGATTTTTTATTAATTATTTAATAAATTAATTACCAAAAAAAAATAAAACCCCACCCAGCCTTCACTACCCACTGCCATCTCTTCCCTTTCCCTTGCTTGTCTCTCTCTCTGTCCCTCACACCCTTCTCCAGCAGCGATCTCATCCTACCTACGGCCACCACCACGACCGCGAAAACCACAATCGTCGTCCAACTGTTGTGAACTCTCCATCCCTGGGAGGCTATTGCGAACTCCCTGTTGTTGGAAGCCACTACCGGAAATCACCGTCAATGAGATTGTTACACAATCTGATGTTTGATGCTGCGAGATGTGGTGGGTCTGCTGCTTGATCCTCCTTGCTACATCCCAAAATTTTTTCTTGATTTTGGTGGCCGAAGGGTTTCTGTGTTATTCGATTGTGGTATGATTTGAGTGCGGTGTTGTATTGTGTTTTGTTGTGTGTGATAGGTGCGAGGTGGTGGTGGTGTTTGACGGTAGTGAGATGGTGGTTTTGGGGGGTTACAGTGGTTTAAGTGGATTTTAGGTGATGGCGGTGATGTTCGACGGTGCAGATGGTGGTTTTGTGGGTCACAGTAAGTGGAGTTTAGGTGATGGTCATGGTGATGGTGTTGGTGTGAGGCTGCGAGGATGGTGGCGATGATTTGGGGCGGTTGTGGACGATGACTATGACTCATAGCTTGGTGTTGGTGTGTGGCGGCGACCGTGGTGGCGATGAAAATTGTGATTGTGACTCACAATTTGAAATGTGACCTAAAAATTGTGATCGTGACTAACAATTACAATTCACAATTGGATATGTGACCTGAAAATTGTGACTGTGAATCGTAAGTGTTGTGATTGTCACAAATTATTTGGTTGACTGTGACAATTAAATTTGTTAATCTATGACCAATAAATATTATGCGACCTGTGAAAAAGATAAATTGTTATCGAAAAATAACGTGTGACATAAAAAATTATTAATCTGTGACAAATAATTTGTGACTGTATAATAAGTTGTAACTTGTAATATTTGTGATTTGTGACCAAAAAATAAATCATGACTTATAAATTTTTCGATTTGTGAACGATGAACAAAATGTGACCTATAAAATTTTTGAATTATGACCATAAAATAATTTGTGACATAAAATTTTGGATTTGTGACAAAAAAAATTATAAGTGACGAATTAAATCATTAATTTGTGACCAAATTATATAAATTTGTGACTTAAATATATTTAATTACTAAAATAAATAAATAAATAATTAAATTAAAATAACTTTTAATAAAAATCTGATTTTTGAAATTTGAAACTTGTTTTCTTGTTTTTGAAATGTGCCATAATTAATCTCTTACATATGAAATTTTCCCTATTTTTAAACAAGCCAATACAAACATGCCACACAATTGAATCAAACCTAGTTGTAGGCTAGTTGATCCATACCAGTCCAACCAAATTTTGACACCACTAAATACTTAGCAGTTCATGAGTTGGATCAAGTTAATTTCTTGGTTCCATGTTTATGACTTGTGGTTACTACGGGTCGTGGATCGTCCATGTGGGTGACCTGACCCACAAGTTAGTAAAATAGTTGGAGGGAGTGGTTTGAATTTGGAAATCGAACCTATAACTTCTCGTAACCTCCTTTTAACTCCTACATAACTTCTATTGATGAGGCTATGGAAGACAGAGATAAAAAAATAAATAAATAAAATGATGGCATAGAAAAAAGTGTGGAAATTCGGATGTAAATTCATACCAAAATTGGAAAGCCCTAAGAACCACATTTTTGGCATGAAATCTCAAAAAAAATGGCACT